GTGAAAACTGGGTGCGTTTTTTATGAGATAAGCCGGTAAACGAGCAGACGGATCACCTGATGGTAAACAATCGGCGTCGCCCATGGACACCTGGAACACCAGAGGCGTTACAAGTGCGTTACCGGCCTTTTGGGAATTAGGGAGTTTGAGGATTGTGGGGGATTCGGGAAGGGGATAAATGGGCCTCCGGTAACCTCACTCACACTACGTGAAACAACGCAAGCGTGATTTTCTGTGAGGCCGTGGTATCACTCCTGTTGAGCCGGTCCAATCGTGCCGAAGCATGGTTCTCCCACACTTATACTTTGTGCAGTAGGGTGTTATATCGTACAGTGGCATAATGTGCACCTCTGCCTATTCCTTCGGGGATAACAGGTGTGAAGTTATGTTATGTTATGCAACTGCTGAGCCCTTTTTTGAGGGGGGAAAATCATCCAATGATATCTCCCGCCCGGGTGAGGGAGTGTCAGACTCTTACTAAAAGCCATCCCGTTCCTACTCCTGCACTTCGAGCCGGAGCCCCGGCAACACTTTAGGTCTTCCGCGGCTCCGTATCGGCATCAACCCTGTTGGGCCCCATCTGTAGTGATCAGATAGGCGCGCGCGAACTGCTGAGCCCTGGCAGTTGCAGTTGTTTGCAGTACCTAGGTAGGAAAAGGCTATTTCGGCTGTAAAAATGCTTTGTCCACACACATCTCAGGGTAAATGATGAAAGTGTAGGTGCTGGTGTTGTACACTTGTAAAATCTCGATAACAGAGTGACAAGCACGAATAACTATCGCATTCGTAACTTAATAGGACCGAGTTCGGCGCTGATTGGCCGACTCCAGTGAACTAACCAATCAGAGGCCTAAGTATGAGTTTCATTTACGTTTAAAGTATTCGAAACGAGTACGCGTTCGGCACTCTGATTGGCCGGCGCCAATGAAGCAACCAATCAAAGCGCCGAATGCGTACTCATTACGATTACTTTAAACATAAAACGAACTTGTACTAAGGCCTCAGAACGCTTAACTCGCTCGATACTGTTACGATACGAATGCAATAATTATTCATGCTTGGCACTCTGATAACACGAGCGATTCAATTTTTACTAAAAATTTTAGGTATCTGCCACTGGGAGACTTCCCCCTAAAAATTGAATCGCTTGCGTTATTAGTTATCGAGATATAATACAAGTGTCCGGCGACTTCCCTCTACAGGCACGGCCGCCAAACTCTCCAGGGTTGTTGGGCAAAGTCAAAAAGTGTCCGGCGACTTCCCCTACAGGCACGTCCGCCGAACTCTTCAGGGTTGTTGGGCAAAGTCAACAAGTGTCCGGCGACTTCCCCCTACAGGCACGTCCGCCGAACTCTTCAGGGTTGTTGGGCAAAGTCAACAAGTGTCCGGCGACTTCCCCTACAGGCACGTCCGCCGAACTCTTCAGGGTTGTTGGGCAAAGTCAACAAGTGTCCGGCGACTTCCCCCTACAGGCACGTCCGCCGATCTCTCCAGGGTTGTTGGGCAAAGTCAATGTTATAATAAAATGCAGGCCTTGCATATCTTAAATTTTTCATTCCTAATATCGAGGACACATATTACCTACCTATTCAGAGATTCACACTGTAGCCAGAATCATCAGGGAGAAATAAAACAAAGTAACTATTATTGATTATGATTACATCAAACATTCAGATGTTTTATTGTATGTATACACATTAGTTAATTGTATTAAGTAATATTATATACTACTAAGTATAATATAATAGTTCTTAAATATTACCAACAATCAGAGACAGATTATGCCTAAGGCAAATTAGGCAAGTGCCTAGGGCGCCAGGGTACAGTGGGGCGCCGCGAGACACGATTATATAGATTGGCGGCGCCAATACAAAACTAGGGCCCCTGTGAGGTGCTTGCCTAGGGCGTGCTCTAGGATTAATCCGCATCTGCCAATAATCATCATTTATATTGCATGGCACGTAAAACTACACAATTAATAAAAACCGCTCCAAAGTTTCAATATAAAATATATTATCAATTGTTAAATTCATAAATTCTATCATAAAAATAAAAATAACATTATAAATAGGTACCTATTTACATAAATATATATAATAAATCAATGCATTATTTTAGTCGTATGATCTAACACAAGTAGCTATCGACATGAGATTCACACATATAGTTTAGATAAATTGAATTAGGCATCATTGTGCCTAAAGAACACTTTAGTTATGTTAAAACTATTGACAATAAGCGATTCAATACATTATTAGTTCTCAATTCTACTGTTAGGCAATCTAAGTTGAAGATATCTGTGACTAATAATCTATGATCCATTAAATGCACAGTAAATACGCTGAGAATACTTTAAAATACCTGTTATATATTACTATGTACTATGAATTAAATTAATTACGCACATCCTTTCCATTCCAATTTCAACATTCTAACTACCGAACCTATCTATTTTGGGGACTGCAAACAGAATGTAAGAATGACTCATTTAAAATAGATTATAACATCTGCAATCTGCATCAAAAACATATCATGTGACCAGCCAACCAAGATTTATAATTTTGGTTTTTATTACTCTATTATGGCCTTAGTAAGTAATTCATTCATTTACAGCTTGGCAAAAAAGTGTTTGATGCGGTGACAGCTGCAACTACTATTCACTTGGACTGAATTATGCACTTCAGACCATATCTCATGAATAAACAATCATCGGAACAATACTCCTCAGTAGACAAAAAATAACAAATATCAAAAACGATTGAGTTGTTCTGTACCAGCTTGCCATAGATACGATACTAGCGACCTCATTTATTCCAAACTCTTTTTTGCCAAGCTGTATGTTCCTTGCTACAACAGAATTTAAAACAACAATTTATCAATTTATTATTTAAAATTTACAATTAATCAAATAAGCATAATACCAATTACATTCATCATCATTAACATATTCCACATACTGACATACATATCTTACATTATGTATAATATACATACTTTTAAACATAATATGTTTAAAATCAATTACTACAAAATTATAACTGTTATGATATGAATATTGTCGAGTATACTTCAATATTATCATAAAAATAATCTAATCCTTCCTTATGACCTTTGCGGTTGTGACATTTGGGTTACTAGTACATAACTAAAATATATTAATGATACAGATATATTTAAATACAAGTATGTAATATATATCGCAGCTAACTCACTTAATAAGCCATTCAACTATCAACCAACCTGAATGGTTAGCCGTTAGATTAAATGGTTAAATTTCTCATCAACCCGCTGAAATCCATCCCCTAAATTTGGTCATACAAAAGTAGCCCTTAACATTGGAAATACACATTATAGACCTTATAATGTAATGTAATGTTAGTGGAGAGCGGTCACTGGTGACCGCTTGGGGATATATGGGTTAAGGCTGTTGAAAGGATTGTCATTAAAACTGTATGACTATCAGAAATGTGAATTAGATTATGTTATAACTGCAGAAATCAACTCGCCATCAGAAATAATTGTACTGCAATGGCATTTAATTAAAAGGCTAAACTATTATTTGAATGGCTTATAAAGCTAGTTGGCTGTGACATATACACAACAATTACGCAATAGTTACTGTTTATTATGTTTAACATAATTTTTATTTTAGTTTTAGAAGTCTGTTAGTACAAAGGAGAAGTTGTGAAGGCTGTACAAGGCATACATATAAATAGAAATCAAAACAGAGATGGAGACAATTGCATTAAAAATGTTTGCATTGTAATACTGTTACAAGCTTTAACACGCAGTAGCAGAACATGAATAACGCAGATTTAGTCCTGAATATCATTTTCACTTGATGTCGCAACCAGCAGAAATGTGAATTTATCGATGAAATATCAATTAAATATTGTTTGATGTAGATAGTATTTGCTGTACTCTTATAAAATAAAATGAATAACAGCCTTCAATGCTTGTGATAATTAAAAAAGCTATTTGATAATTCAACTCCGTTATGAGTTACCAAATTAGTAGTCACTTAACAATACCAAATCACATTAATAATAGTCAAAATAAACTAAAGGAATTTAGATAAATGCACAATAAACAGAATATATAACTTACTCACTTATGAGTTAATTATAGCTTACAATAACATAAGTTTAATATTATTTCACTTGCAGTATTCTCTCACTTTCTGTGTACAGCACCGTCCGTCATTTCTTTAAGAAACAGGCCAAATAGAAATGTCTCCTCTTTAAAACACCTTCCTCACCACACTCTGCTCCGTGTAATCAATCAGACTAGATTCCACGCTGGGATTTTGCAGCGCATTTAACAGATGCCAGACAGAAAAGAAAAGAATGATCAAACCTATTTTGTGAGACCTCTTCACAGATACACACCAGAGCAGCATCAGACCAGCCAGTGTGAGCAACAGCACCACCACTGGCATGTACAGCCATCACCATGTGTTCTCCGCCTGTTCCTCCACCGCAGGATGCCGGCGCATTTTGATCACCACCTCTGCCAGCTCGCGGGACAGTACGTTGGGCAGGTCAAGCTCGGAGGCTGCGTGTGGGTTCGGCAGCAGCGACGCCAGGGTCTGCATGGCCGTGCTCTTCAAGGACCGCACGGGCACGGTGATGTTCCAGTTCGTCCTGTACCGCAGGTCGCCCGCGCGCTCCGGTGCCCTGAATACAAGCTTGTTATTAATCACGTAGCGTTCCCCGGTCGTTGCGTCAGTGAACTCCCAAGGATGCGTTAGGTACGAGTTGATATCGTAGAACGCGCCCGGCTCCATCCGCTCGTAAAACCGTTTCTTCCCAGCAAAATCACGCCACCACACGTCCACCGCGCGCGTTGTTCGATTTGTGAAGCGAAGATACGCTTGGTGATCTGAATTTATTGATTTAACGAGAACATTCTCGCCCTTCTCATTAACTTCATATACAAGCTCGTCGTTAATAGCCATTGCTATATTATATGTATGTTATCACGTAGAAAATTCACCACCAATTATTTTTACGGGGCCAAAGGAAGCACAGTGCGCACCACAATTTCGAAATTCCCGCGAATGGCGAGAAATGTCAATGTAGCGTTAGTCTGGAGAACACTTCCGCCGAATTATTATCAACAATGGCAGTCTGTGTCGCAGTTATCGGCAAAGATGTGAGTATTCATTGCATTACCACACCTTATCACTACGATTTGCCTTAAACACCGATCACGGGCACCATAACTGTTTAAAATTACACCATATTATAACTTAATTGTTCCAAATCTGCCTGACGAAAAATGTAATGTAATATTTTTTAACTCACACACGTCACTTCATATTTCACGATGACGTCAATAGTAATTTGCATAGACAAGACAAATCATAAAACAACACAGATGACACACTATTTCTCACTACATTGATTTCTATTGTTTCGGAAAAGGAATCGAAAAAATATCAATCTTATCAAACCGGTTTTATATTGACATTACGAGAAAATTGAAAACTGCCATACTAGAAAACGAATACAATATTCTTGCCAGTGTAAAATAAAATTACCCCACATGAATTTTATTCAAGTAACTGAAAAATAAAATATATACTGTTCTGTTTTCTAGAATTCGCCTTTATATATCGGTGGTATTGGCAACGATACAAGCACTGATAATGAACTGTCTCGTCAATGGCTCGTGCACACCGCGTTGGATGCTCTGGAAGAGAGACTTGCAAGTACTAACACTAATAACACAGGTGCCAATACGACCGCCGCTCGCACCGATCTGAGAGATCTCTACTTAGGTCTACTATATTCGACCGACACTCATAAAATGTAAGTTACAATATCAAACAGTTGACGAGCGAAATCTTAAAAATGATTATTAATTATAAAATCTTGAATAAATGATTTTTCTTTCTTTCTTTCTTAAACACCTTTGATTTATAATTCTGTTTAACCGTGTTTTTAATTCGTAATTATTCAATTTCAGCTACGGCTATGTGACTAATACGCGCATCAAGCTGGTTCTAGTGACCTCGTCTACGTCTCCCAGCGGATCCAATATTCGTGATGCTGAAGTGAGAACCGCGCTCCGCCGCCTGCACGCACTCTATGCTGATGCCATCTGTAACCCATTCCATTTGCCTGGAGATCAAATAACTTCCCTGTATGATCTTTTTTATATTTCTTTTTATTCTCTCTTAATTTGTCTTAAATATAACTAAAGAAAAACGATAAACTAAGTATAATAATCAACAATTTTTTGTTTACAGGAAATTCGACAAACAAGTCAAGACTATTATGCTTAACAATGTTTGAACCTGGTTTCCTGAGCATGCTTAAGTGAAGTACAGTCATCATCACCAAAAGACACTTAAGGATATTTGTCATCTAAATCCGTGACATTATTGAATAATGTTCGAAGCTTAAATGTAGGCTCTGTATTATGTATCCTAAATGCCATTGTTATATAAAAACATTATTTAATAATTGATGCTTCCCTTGCGTGTGACGCTGCTAAATGCTGGTGACTGTACACAATTTTTTTTATTATTAATAATTTTGTAATTTACTTTAAGTTTATTGGCATCAATCAGTTGATGTTTGACTGTTTATATCCTTAATATTATGCTTAATAAATGAATCTTTATTTACTGGTACCATATTTTATATTTCATTTGATGTGTAGGTGTATTGTGTTATTTTAAAACACCTATTTTGAGAAATACTCCCGATTATATTACTTTGTTTAGCGTAGAGACTTTCGTTGTTTAATAATAATGATAATTCTCCACGCCGGTTTCGGCTATAGGGACTATTTCTTGACCACCGGCGTCTATCATCTATATATATATATATTGGTTGTTTATTGATGGTTTTCTAAACAAATGATGTTACGAATTTCCCTTCCTTTAAAGGAACGTTTGTATTCTATAAACAAGTCTTTATCGAAGTAGGTACCCAGTTATCTAAAATTACTAATAATGTGGTAAAATCTTTCAATATAGTAACACTGAAGCCAAAACCATAGAGATACATAAATGAAATTCAACGCGTTTTGTTTCATTCACCTGAATCGATTAATTAAGGTTTAGTTAAATATTTTCAGAGTATTAATGTTATTAAATTTATTTAACAAAAGTTTACGCTGCTATTTTTTTATTGTTGTTGACCAATCTAATTACGAAATTAATATTTACTAATCTATCTCTCCGCTCTGAAACTAACGAAACGTTTGTCCAAAATGTTGACATCTTATTCTTAATTTTTTTTTCATTCTCTTTCTCTTTCATTCTTTAGGTGAAGTGAAGCTGTGCTCCGGTTCAGCGCTGTGCAATTTTGTCTTTAAATTGTTTATCTCGACCGGAATACCGCAACAAAATGGTAAGTAATTATATAATTCTCACGCCGCTGTATATTTTTCAATATAAATTTTGTTATTCAGCAATAAATTACCTTTACACTAAACTTTGAGGTTATCTATGCACGTGTCAACAATATACATTTGTATCAAGCGGGAAGTTCTCCTTTTACAACGAATACAGCTTTAAATCTGTAGGCTATTTAATTTGTTATAACTTGAAATTTACCCAAATGTGGATAGGTACACAACTCCTCGTGTGATTTCTAGAATAAACTTATTGTCGCCTGATAGATAGCCGTACGGTCCTATGACACTATCATAGAACAATAACAAAAACTATTTTTTATCATTTATTCGGATTAGGACCTACTCTAATCACTTAACATGCGTTTATAGCCTTTGTCACCTTTACCTTACCAGCAAGCACCATGAGTCCGCTCCTAATATGATCCACTGACTAAGCTAGATAAATTATTTGTATTTTACCAAATTCTAGGCAGCCGCCGTCGTGTCAGGCAAGGACATCGAGAAGCCTCAGGCTGAGATCTCGCCCATCCACCGCATCAGGATCACCCTGACCTCCCGTAACGTGCGATCCTTGGAGAAGGTGTGCGCTGATCTCATCAATGGTGCCAAGAAACAGAAGCTCCGTGTTAAGGTGAAATAATATTCTTTTATTAGTAATTGTAGTATTACCACGCCCGAGCCCAAAACATTCCTTTGCATATAGTGTATTTTCTCACTTATTTTTTAAGTTCCTTTCTTACTTTAAACTGTCAAACACCAAGCGGTCACCGGTGACCGCAACTTATTTTTCTATAATTGTATCTATAATGACGGTACTCGACGAGTTAACATGTACTACAGTTCCTTTCTTACTATAAAGATTGAGAGTGATGTTATGGCAATGTCCATAAATCAAAATGCCCTATTTAGACACCATGGAATTACTAAGAAGGAAAACATTTTGAGGAAACCTTATAATAATTGTTACATACAAGTTTGGAATTGCCAATCTGTCTTGTATATCCATTCAATAGTCAGACAGTTACAGAGTGATGATGAACTAGTCTACACCACATGTACAGTACACTCATTGCCCGATATCTTTGTAAATCCTAATTAGCTATCCTTCAGTTGACTTATTTGGTATTAAGACAGCGCCCGTTGTTACCATACACAGTATGGCTTGTGCCATGCAGTTGTGTTCACTGTCGGCGCTAGAGTGATACTCTCGAAAGTGCTTTATGCTAGTATACACACGGCATATTGTTCATCTGAGAGTTACACACATAATATAAACTATGGTATTGTTATAAATAGATTTTATGAAACTGCTTGTTACTATCTTAACACTTGTAACTGACAAGTTTAAAAAGATGAAAGTCAAAACTCTTCCGTCGGGCACCGGTGACTGACGTGCGGGTTAAAGAGTGTGTTAGACAACTTTTACAGTGTGTCCAACAATTCATACACTAGTTTTTCATTATAATGTATTGTGATATGAAATGACCTTTATATCGCAAACTCTGGATAATATCCTAAACTAAAAAAAACTAATAAAATATTTATAAATATGTATTTACAAGGAGGTTCATCAGAGAATGCTGTAACCTGCCCTCTCTTAAATATCATGTGTTAGACAACTTTTATAACACCCTTGGTCAGAGAAGGGTGGTAACATGACATTACTAACTCATTGTATTTCTCAATTCCAGGGACCCGTGCGCATGCCAACCAAGGTGCTCCGCATCACCACACGTAAGACTCCTTGTGGTGAGGGTTCCAAGACCTGGGACCGCTTCCAGATGCGCATCCACAAGCGTGTGATCGACCTCCACTCGCCCTCTGAGATTGTGAAGCAGATCACTTCCATCAACATCGAACCTGGTGTAGAGGTTGAGGTCACCATCGCTGACGCGTAGGCACAACTGCCTAATATATTTTATTAGGAAATCTTCTTGTTTTATTTCTCTGGGCTTTGTGTTGTGGTCTCCCATCTCTACAGCTTGTATTTTAAGTTCTAACACTTGGGTTTTATTTGCTTTTTTATGAACTTTAGTCATAATTTATAGTACATATTCAGGTATGAATAATGACTAAAGTTCTAGTACATCTAGTAGCCCTAATCAACTGATAATATGTAGAGAGAAGCATTTTTTAGATGACGAAATTACTTATATCATTCCAACGACTGATTACTAACTACAACTACATAAAGTAGTTAATAATCATAATTACAGATTACAAAGAACTGTAGAAAGTAGTCAAACATTTTAATTACTAACTAATAATTGTAGATAATCACGATAAAGAGATAACTTTCATAACTACACATTTAAAATAATATTTCGTTTTATAAAAAACTTAAAGCCCGTCACAGGCGTAGCTAAAATATTATATTTTTACGTGTACTGAATGATTAGCCCAATTGACGTTTTAGTTGCTTCGAAAATTATTGAAATCGAGTTTAAGTTGTGAATTAAACTGAAGATGCTTTATGCAGTAAGATCCTGAAACTTGTATAACAACACATGGCAATGTTTATTTGCAAAATATTAGACTAAAAAGACAAATAATCAGTAGTTATAACTACTACATTCCATAATGACTATCGTGAGACACTAAATTAACTAAAAATCGCGGGTTACTCACGTGAATGCGTGCACGGTCGTGGCGATACAGGCTGCGGGACATCGTCGCGACCGCGCTACTCATGAGGAAGAATCTCATCTGTGGTTCGAAACTAGTAGAGCTTTTCTCAGTATATTCACGTGAGTAACCTGCGATTTTTAATTAATACTAGATTCCAGTAAACAAATAAATAACTAGGTACTTCATTTAGTTAGATTAGTTTACTTACAGACTACTGTCAATAATCAGATCACAAAATAGTACGTAACTACGCCCAACACCGATCATTCATGTAAAATTATAATGATATTTTTATTGGCGTGCTTTTAAGATTGCAGCCTACAAGCTGCTTTCCTAAATTGTCTTCTTCAAATGATAATTATGGCATAGTAAATACTATATATTCCATACATTCCATATCCATAACAAGGCTTCATTTTAGGTCATACCTCTCAACAGATAGGGCACAGTTTAGAATACTAGCTACACTATTTTTGCTGGACAGGAGACAGTCCATCATCCATCAGGATCTTCCAATCAACATCAGACAGAAGTTATTACACGACCTTGTAACCACAGTGACATACTGACTAAAATAGCACTCCTATTAAACAATTACTATCCCGGTAGAGGTCGCCACTTGACTGCAGATTGACGTCTGCTCACAATTGGTGGCACGCTACCAGACTATTAGTTTGATCATCATATATAGTTACTATACAAATTGTGATATGGTAATTTGTTTTGAAAGATAGCTTTAGGTTGTCTAAGGAAGAATTGCAACATTGTTTTTTTAGTAGGTAGGTATCCGAAGTTGGCGATGGCGACCTCTCGCGTCCGGGCCTAGTGCAGACCATGATGCGGAGCGAGGGGGACTAGGATGCCGTCTCCTCCTTGGTGGGGGTGGTTTTTAGTCAGTAAGAGTCTGACACTCCCTTCCGCCTCACCCAGACGGGAGCAGTCATTCGATGATTTCCCTCCCTTAAAAAAAAAGGTATCCGAAGTTTTGTGTGGGAGAGCCATGCTTCGGTACGAATGGGCCGGCTCGATCTGAGTGATACCACGGTCGAGCAGAAAACCGACTTGATACAACGTGTTTCTTCGTGTGAGACGCGGATTGCTTACCATCAGGTGATCCGTCTGCTCATATACCGGCTTATGCCATAAAAAAGCCTAGGGGTTGATTTGAACCGGCCTAGGTGATATATCCTGTCAAAGGTTTGAGTTCTGAACGGAACAATACTTAATTCTTTATTTCCTTGTGGACACAATAGGTGAATGAGTTTTCTTCTGACTGTCGGATCTGAAAATCATTGGGCAGGCATAAATATGTTTAGCAGTAGATTGACGTCTTGTTCCAACCTCACTCAGCTGCAAGACAGCATTCTATAATAAATTATTACCTACTAGCAATACCTGCTTGGGTATCTGTATCTACATTATTATCAACAGGAAAGATATTGTCCTCCCGTGTCCGGGCGTCCATCACGCACAACCTACATCAATCACTGAGCTCGCAACACGAGCTGCCGGAAACAATACAACAGGACTTGGAGCCGAGTGTAATAAACGACTGTAGAACCCAGCGTGTAAAGCTAAACCAAATGGATAAATGTAATAAAGCCGACAGTTTATTGAAGAAACTGCCAGGCAAATCTTAG